TTTCTGCGAATTTTTTTTTGAAAAGAGGGAAAAGGTAGAAAAGTACATTTAATATAATCAAGTTTTCATAATGGAAATCTTGGCAAAAACCAGTATGTGTACATAATATATGTGCATATATATGTATATTGATAGATATATGTGCATAAAATATACATATAATAGAGACAAATATATTTATCTTTACATATTTATTCATATCAAATTTTTAGTATGGATAAAGTTAACTATGTTTACTGGGAAAACTAAACTAAAAAAAATACTAAACACTAAATAAATGAACCAAAACCAAAAAAGCAAACAAAAATGCACCTTACTGGAGAAATAGTTATTGGAAGGTTTGAAACAGGAAAGCAAGAGAGGAGCCTAGAAGGCCTTATTGTGCTAGTGTTGGCAGGACCAGGTTGCTCACGGCCTGCACATTCCAAGAAAGATCTGTGTCAAGACTGGCCCTTGATTACCTGCTGGGAGATAACCTCTGAGCCCTAAGAACACTGCCTGATCAGAGTGGTTTTTCATCCCCTGAGGCTCTGGCCATCCTGTATCAGTTTGGCCTCTGGGGCACTGGAGACTGTACAGCCATGGTCAGTCCTGGGGGCCCTGCAGACCTGTGTGACTGACCACCAGTAAAACCCCTGGGCCCCAAGGCTCAGGTGAGCTTCCCTAGCCAGCTGGACTTTGCACGTGTGGTCACACATTGTTGCTGGAGAATTAAGTTCTTCCCTATGTGATTTCACTGAGAGGGGACTTCTGAAAGCTTGTGCCTGATTTCTCCTGGACCTGTCTATTGGATGGTGGTCTCCATTTTCTAGCTTGTTGTCAGGCAGTGGCTACTCTCCACTCCTAGAGGTGGAGCGTCTCATGACCTCCTCTGACATCAAAGCCAGAAATAGATAATTTCCTTCATGTCAAATCTAGTACTTGCTTCAAATCTGCTTCACCAGTAAATGCTCCAATACTTTTTAAAGGTTCACTTGATTAAGTAAGGCCCACCAGGGATAATTTCCTTATCTTAAATTCAACTATTTTGACTTCTACTACATACGTAAAATCTCTGTACAATAGCACTTGTAACCTTGTGTGACTAAACCCAGCAAAAGGTGTGTGGATATCAAATTATGGAAGTGCAATTATTTCCAAATTAATTTATAGATTCAATTCAGTGTTAATCAAAATCCAAGTAAAAACTTGTCTACTTGATTATAAAATTCATCTGGAAATTCAAATGGCCTAGAATAACCAATTCAACTTTGAAAAAAAACAAGTTTTACCACGTACCTTATTTCATTTTAACACTTGTCATAAAGCTAAGTAATTAAGACAGGGTGTTATTGATGTAAAGGTACAGAAATAAATAGGTCAGTGAAAAAGACTGATACTCCAGAAGTTGACCCTTATGTTTATGGTCAACTGTTTTTTGTAAGAAATGCAAAACAATTCACTAGAGGAATGTTAGTCTTTCAACAAATGGCACAGAATAAACTGGATAGCTATATATTTTAATGAAATTTCATACATATCATGTACTATTTTAAAATAAATTTACAAGGACTAACTCAAAATGAATCACAAACCCACAACAGAAAACAAACTGTAATACTTCCAGAAGAAATATATGAAGAATATTGTTATTCAATTAGGCAAAGATTTTTCAAACACAACAGTAAAAACATGATGTATATTTAAAAATGATGACTGGGATTTCAAAACTGTAGAATACATAAACAAGATTATACTGTATAGCACAGGGAAATATATACAAGATCTTATGGTAGCTCATGGAGAAAATAATGTGACAATGAATATGTATGTTCATGTATAACTGAAAAATTGTGCTCTACACTGGAATTTGACATAACATTGTAAAATGATTATAAATCAATAAAAAATGTTAAAAATAAAATAAAAATAAAAACGATGAAATGCCACTCACCGAAATTTAAAATTTCTGCTTTTAACAACACACTATTAAGAATATAACTCACCATAAACAGGAAGAAAATAATTTTGAATCACATATCTGTCAAAGGACTTGTACCCAGACTGTGTAAAGAATTCTTAAAACTCAGTAACAAGAAAACACACAACCAAATTAAAAAATAGGCAAATAATTTAAGCAGGCACTTCACCAAGGAAGATACACAGACAGCAACTAAACATACAAATGATGTTCAACACAATTAGCTTTGGATATATATATTCCAATGATACTAAAGCATTCATATAATAAAGGATTTTATTCATATATTAAAGAATTACAAACTTCAAAAGGCCTTAACAGATGTAAAATTTTTATTTAAAGACTATGTAATTGAAGTGATACAGTTGTCCTCATGACCTGTGTCATATGCTGCTGTAACATCCTCCTGTCTCCAAGGACACAGTCCCCACTGAAGCCTGTGTTACTTGTGTTTTTGCGAAACTTCATTAATCAGAGAATTAAGGAAGAGCTCTTGATTGCAGGTCAGCAAGGACCATTTTTTTTTTCCATTCAGCGGCACTTTTGAAAAATTAAAAAGAAAAATCACATTGGACATTGTATAAGTATTTCTCTCTATCCAGATGATTTAAAATGCATCTCCTCCACCAGTGGAGAGAGTTCATCAGTCTTAACTGTAATTTATTTTTATTTCAAGGATGGCAATGGCAAGAAAATATTTGGAGGTTTATAATAGCACTAAGTCTACCATATGCAAGTCTTTCTAATGTATTGGAGATGGTGAACAAAGGGAGATCGATGTGTTCCCAGACATGCTCTGAATTTGAAGACACAAATACCTTTATTAAAATATGACTTTAAACTTTGTAGTCTTAAATTTGCTGTGCTTAAACAACCATCAGAAGCTCTGATTTACTAACAAAAGTGTAAGTATGATAAAGTTTCACTCTTTGATTGTAATTCCCTTTGTAGGATATACGTTATATTTTCCTCTGGAAACAAAAATAAATTTCAGTAATAATTTATATTTTTTATTTTCTTTAGTATTTAATTTTGAGATGTTAATTTTTAGAATAAATTTCCCTTGTGTACATAAATGTCACTGCCTAGGAGATTTCTATCCTTATGATATGTTAAAAAATCTGTATCTAATTTAATATGAGAAATATTCAGGGTAACTTTGGATAGATATTCAACCTCAAATTAAAACGACTGTCTTCCTGTAAATAGAAGCATACAAGCATGCCCTTTCATTCCTCTTCCCATCCCCCTTACAAATAAAACACAACTGAAATGATACATTTCTTTACACATTCTTGTGTTCAGATTGAGCACTGTTTGAAAGACAGAAAGATCAGAAACAGATACTTAAATTTTACTGTCAATCTGTTTACTAATTTCTAGTATAAAATAAGTTGTAATGCCTTGTAGAAAAATAGATATATTTCAAGAATTCAATAATGGTCAAAGTTTGAAGGGTAGAGTAAGATTTCACAAGGACTCACATATCATATGAGAGATAAGGAGAAATGACGAAAAGAAGGTAGGTGGACTACAAATATATATACATGTATGTAAATTCCTTCCACATCTTAATTTGATATAAATACTTCAATGGCAAACTAAGAGAATTTTAACTTTTGAGTAAGCCATAATCCTCAGTTAGTGATTTTTGTCTTTATTGGAGACACTACATAGTCACAACCAGGTCTGCCCAATCTCAGTAAGAAGAGAATGCAGTAAGTTAAACAGCAAAGTAAATATACTCATAAAACAAATGGACCAGGTACACAAGGGGAAAATCTTTTTTATTGATTGATGTCAGAAAACTCCATGACGTGAAACACTAACTGTACATTAGAAATATTTGAGTCCCTACTAGTGTAGCATCAATGAAGAGAATTCAATGACTGGAAGATGCAGGAGAGAAGAGAGGGCAGTCATCATATGCGTCAGCAGGAAACATATACATATTCAGTAAAGATAATGCAGAAAAAGACATGTGGACTATGTGGTACGCGCTGGTGGGTAAGTAGCAGGCCTTAGATTGTTTGTAAGAATTAAGCAGGCTTAACTTAAAAACAAACCAGCAAATGAAATTTTCTTTTGGAACAAAGACCTCAAGTTTTGCTCTAGAGTCTACACAGTGAACACAAGTCATATAAGCACTGCCTTAAGAAAGACTCAAAGTGTCAAGAAAAGATATGGAATCAAGGGTGCAATTTTCTGAATTCATTTCTGAATAGGGAAGAAGTCTTGAAAGCCAAAAGGCATTCTAACTCCCCATTTAATTACACCTCCTCAGCATCTACTTAGTCATCACTGGAAAACCCTAACCTCAAAATAGACATAAAATGTGAGTATATTTACTCATTTATAGACAATATTATATATAATGAAATATAAAAGTTTAAAAGCATTAAATTTTAAATCAGTTAAAATACTCTCTAATCTATAAGCAAATTTTCTTAATATCATACACAGATTGGACACAAGTCAGAAGTCAGTGATGAGAAATGGTACAGTAACAACATTCATTCTGCTGGGACTCACAGATGATCCTGAGCTACAGGTGCTGATTTTTATCTTTCTATTTATCAACTACACACTGAGTATAACTGGAAACCTAACGATCGTCACACTCACATTTGTGGATTCCCATCTTAAAACACCCATGTACTTTTTCTTAAAAAATTTCTCCTTCTTGGAGATCTCACTCACATCTTCTTGTATCCCCAGATACCTGTATAGCATAGCAACAGGTGACAAGGTCACTACTTATAATGCTTGTTTCATCCAAGGGTTTATCACCGACCTGTGTGGAATAACAGAATTCTATCTGCTGGCTGCCATGTCCTATGACTGCTACGTGGCCATCTGCAAACCTCTGCATTATGTGACCATCATGAGCAGCCAAGTCTGCAGGATACTCATCATCTCTTCTTGGATGGCTGGTCTCTGTATTTTAATCCCACCACTTATCCTGGGTTTAAATCTAAAATTCTGTGACTCTAACAAGATTGATCATTTTGGCTGTGATGCATTTCCCTTAGTGGAAATCTCATGTTCAGACACATGGTTGATGGAACACACCGTTATAATCTGTGCTGTT